ATAATTTTTTATCATTTTGAGTTGCAGAATTTTCTAGTTTAAAGCGCAGATGTCGCCATGCAATCTTAATGACTTATAAAATTAAAGGCTGTTTTTCAAATGTGATAAATAACATTTTAAAAGAGTTACGTGATGGAGATGCAGGAGATAAAATCCGCGCCATCCGAGGTCAGAGCCTCTGCAGGACGCTCCCGGCCCCCACCCTTCTGAAGGCAGGAGAAAAGGCTCCAGGATCTCCTCCTTTCTCTGCAGCCTGCAGCTCCTCTGGAGTCTGTGCAGAGCAGGAGCGCAGCCGAGCTGCTCCATCATCCTCCGTCCCTCCATCATCATCTCCACCTGAATAACAAATTAAAGGCGCTTAAATTCCCTCACTGCGATTATCAGAGTAATTGCATAATTGAAGAAGGGGGTGGGGGGGAACTGCACTGACAAGTTGCAAAACGTTTTATCTAAAAAAAACAAAAAAAAAAAAACAAGGCGGCTGACATCACGCGTGTTGTGCGCCACAATGGCTGCCTGACTGCAGGATTTAAAGATTTCTGTGTAATATTAGGCTATATAGCCAAAGCATGGTCCCATGTCCCCCCCCCCCCCTAAAATGGGCCAATTTGAAGTGATGTCTCTTGATTTACTTTTTTTTTTGGGGGGGGGGGGGGGGGATGCCTCAAGATTTTCCTCTATCAACAACGACAATGATAATGGTGGTACAACCAATAATTATCATCTTCCAGAACAGAGGACAGATTTTTTTTATGGGTACTTGGTGGGTGCGACTGATAACTGTCATTATTTTCCCACGATTATAGTATCTACAGACGGCTGCGAGCAAAACCATTAACAGAACTGAGGCGGAATTTGAAGAAAGCAAGAACAAAAAAATCATGTAAAATAATAGCAGAATAGGAAGAAGAGCAATGAAAGAGGGTTTTATGAACTGAAAAGACTGAACTGAAACACATCCTGCAGAAATACTTTGAATGATAATTTTTTTCTTTATTAATATTCCTACAAAATGTTTCTCAAGCCTCCTCCGTGTGGACGGAGCAGAGATGTGATAATATTCCCAGTGTCATTAATAATTTGACTCTGAGCCCCCCCATGGCAGCAGCAGGACTCTTAACTCGCCACACTAAAAATAAAGTCCTCCATGCATGGCTGGAGCGCGGGGGCAGGCCTCATTAGGAGTGAGTAGCTCTGTGGCTGAGGGTGTTTTAACACCTGCTGCTCTTCACCTGAGGGTTAGTGCAGAGGTGGAGAGACAGACGGAGAGGAAGGGGGGGTGGGGGGGGCAACATGTCACCGGCTTCATTTCAGGAGGCCCTCCTCAGCTGCAGATTTAACAGCCACCAGATATGATGGTGATGATGATGATGATGGCGTGAAGCTGCAGCTCTGCAGAATCTGCATCTGAGGCCACGATTAAAAATTAAAGGCTCCCGCTGCAAACGCCAAACATAAAAAAAAAAGGTGATCCTGAACTATATCACGTGGTTTGACCGAGTTTATAGTTTCCCCAATATGTTGACGTGTAATTCTGAAATGCAGGTATGCGCTCAACATAAACAAAGCACCTTCATCTGCACTCAACAGATGTTTAACGAAAGACGAGAATTGTATCTTTTGTGAACACCACTGCTTCTAGTCACTTTGCCTCAAATGTGTCACTAATTTTGAATTTAGTGCACATTTGTGAGGATTTTGATTCTTACCTCTATTTTTTTTTTTTACTCCTTTTCATGATGTATGCAAGAGGAAGAAAGAAATGCTGTTTATTTATTAAATCCACAATCATAAAATGCTATTTTTCTTTTTAAAACAATGTTTTTAAGCTTTTGAACAGTTTCTATTTAAAACAAACACATTTTTAGTCATTCTTCTCTTCTTCATCATGCTTTGACACAAATAAGGCCAACATGAAATTCCACTAAAATCAAATAAAAATATAATTATTCTCTATAGGCTCATTTGCTCTTGTAGTGGTCATTACCACGGCTTCAGCTGCAGACCCGAGTGGTTCTGTGAGTGACGAGCAGCAGACGTGTCAAACTACGAAGGTTGGTGTCCCACGCTTTAAAAGCAGCGGATCAAACAAGTGAAATTGTCTTTTGTTCTCCGGCGTGTCTCTGGCTCTGCTTCTCGCTGCCATCCTGTAATTTGCAGCGTCAATGAACGCAAGCTAGACGCGCCACAATTAACTCGATTCAGTGTCTATTTTCATGTTCAATGTGGCATCAAAATGTGAATTGATTTTGTTTGCTGAGTTATGTGTAAACAACAACAAAAGGGCTAGCATGAGCTGAGGAGTAAGCTTATGTTGGTTAATCTGCTGCGTCAGCAGAAAAGGTCAGAAAGGTCACGTGGGGGGAAATTAAATAAAGTTTTATGGTGTTTTTTTTTTTAAGTGTGAAAAATGTTACTTTTACAAGATTAAATGAAATTACATCCCACTGTGGGTAATATATGTGATAATATTTAATTATAATGTTGAATAATTTTATTTTGCCCCATGAATTAAAACATTAGATTTGATATTATAAGTAATTAAAATGTTTTCATTTTTATTTTAGTTAAATTAAGCATTAAATGATTATAGATTAAAATGTGCAGGATTTTGATACTGATGCTGTTTATTACACATGTAGTGGTTTTTAAAATATATTTGTATAAAACTTTATTTAAGTGTCATGGTTTAAAAGAGCAGAACACAGCATTTTTATATATTTATTACATATAACTGATTTAATTTTATCTAAAATTTGCTTTTAAATTCTGTATTTTTGACTTTATTTTTCCTATTTTATTTGATTTGAATGTTTTTGTGTTTGGTTTAAAAAGTTTTCTGGGTATATTAAACGACACTTAGCATGTTTTATAATTAAAACTGAATCAATTTCAAATCAATAACAAATCAACTTGAAACTCAACTGAATGCTTTTTTCTTTTTTCTATTAATTCAGTTGTTTTAAGAATGCATTCAAAATGTTTTCCACGTTTAAAAATAATAAAAGCATAAAGTTTTATGAATTTTGTGCAGTATTAATGCTTGTTTTGTTTGTTTTCAGGTGCTGCCATTACAGCCACTCGATTACATCACCTCATCATGTCATGGCTGCTAATATTCTTGTTGAACTTTGATCATTACTATTAAAAAAATAAAGAAATTGTTTCTGCACTTTAAAAAAAAAACGCTGCTTATATCATTTACATAAAAAAACTCTTTAAATGTTAAAAATGATGATTATATTCCATCTGATTAACCCAAAACTGGCTGACTCAGAAACAAACCTGCTGAAGCTGCATTTCTACTCCCTTTTGCTTTTTCAGTGTTCAGAGGTGCTTTCTCCTTAGAAAGCAGGGGTCACGGTGTGGAAAAAGCCCCCGGTGAACTGGTAGAAATGCTGTGCCCATTACAGCAGCAGCAGGGGTCAGGCCATGGCAGCAAGCATCCAAGCTGCCCAAAATTGGCTGCAAAATGACCAATTACCTGAGTGAAGGCAGGGGGAGAAAGGACTTGGAAAAACATGGTTTTTACTTAATTCAACTAAACTGTAAGAGAAACCAGTGTCACAATAACGCCTCAGACCTGCTGCATCCAAACTGTTGGGTGGAGATCTGCTCCAATGCGAGAATTAATTTATAGATAAGCCACGCAAAAAAAAAAAAAAAAAAAAAAAAAGCATAAAAGCTCAGTTTGCATTGTGATGTAAGAGAGCCGGGGAATTATTTCACCAAAACAATGATTGATTAAACATCTTTACATGCAGGTCTTATTGAATTAATTCCCCCGCAAATGGAAAACATGCAAATTTGGCAATTAAGTCATTTGCCCATGGAGAGCGGGGCTGCTTGACGTTCAGCTGCCACTGCGCCTTTAGTCTGAAACCCTTTTTAGTTTTTGTTAAGAGTTAAGTCTCCAACAAAGACAGGAAGGAGGTCAGCACTCAGCCAACACCTGAATGCGCCTCTCTTTTTTTCCTGCTCCCCTTGATCCCCACAGTCTGTGCCTGTCATTAGTCTTAATGATGGAAAATTGTCATGTTGATACAAGTCTTGCTCTCCCCCTCTCTTCTT